TCCTTCGGGGCCTTTGCGGCCATTCTTGGCGATCGGTCTGTCGTGACCTGGGGTCACTCAGGCTCCGGGGGTGACAGCAGGGTTGTGATGGAACAACTGAAGAACGTGCAGCACATCCAGGCTTCCGAACATGCTTTCGCTGCCGTTCTAGGCGATGGATCCGTGGTGTCATGGGGATCTGCTGACCATGGCGGTGACAGTGGTTCTGTCCAACATCAGCTGGAGAATGTGCGGCAGGTCCAGTCCACCAGCAAGGCTTTTGCTGCCATTCTCGGCAATGGATCTGTCGTGACCTGGGGTGATGGTGCATCTGGTGGTGACAGCTGTGCTGTACAGGATCGGCTGAAGAGCGTGCAGCAGATCCAAGCAACTGAACATGCTTTTGCTGCCATAATTGCCGATGGATCTGTCGTGACCTGGGGTGATGCTTTGAATGGTGGTGACAGCAGCGCTGTTCAGGATCAGCTCAAGACTGTGCAGCAGATCCAAGCCACTTCATGCGCTTTTGCTGCCGTTCTTGTCGGTGGGTCTGTCGTGACATGGGGCGATTGTACCCGTGGTGGCGACGGCAGCAATGTGCAGCATCAGCTGAAGAACGTGCAAAGCATCCAAGCGACTCCGGAGGCTTTTGCTGCTCTTCTGGGCGATGGGTCTGTTGTGACTTGGGGGGACGCTCGAAAAGGTGGTGACAGCAGTGCTGTCCAGCAGCAACTGAAAAACGTGCAGCACATCCACGCTACGGAAGCTGCTTTTGCTGCTATCCTCGCGAGTGGTTCTGTTGTGTCCTGGGGCTCCGCACAGCATGGTGGTGACAGCGCAGCCGTGCAGGAGGAGCTGAACAATGTGCTTCAGATCCAAGCCTCTTATCATGCTTTCGCTGCCATTCGCGGCAATGGAACTGTCGTGACCTGGGGTCGCCGTAATGGTGGAGGTGACAGTCGTGCTGTGCATGAGCAGCTGAGAAACGCGTAGCACATCTGCTTGCTCGTGTATTCAGGTGTCGTTTTTTGATGGGGCCCTCTGGGTCGCTCCTGTTCTGCATTCTAGTGATTCTAGTCCTACCTTAACCCACCGGAACCTACTCTTTTGTCGGGTCCCTATAAATCCCAGATTAGGGTTGATAACAGGAACCTGCAAAAAGTGGGTTTTGGTAGGTTAAGGTAGTTTCCACCAAGTGCAGTACCCTAACCAGCGCAGCGCAGTATACGACTGGCGCAAGAAGGTGCCAAGCCTTGGCAACAAAGTTCTGACCAGCTGATTGCCTCACTGGAGATCGTTGGTGAGCTAAGCGTCGGAAAAAGATCCATAAAGATTATCGTCAAACCAGAGACTGACACTCATTCTTATCCTCCTTCATCCCCTCTCCTCCATCTCCTTCTGATCCTCATCATCAGCATCACCATTGTTGGTGGTTGCAGCAGTAGTTGTCGTCGTCGTCGTAGTCGTAGTCGTAATCGTCGTCGTCGTCGTCGTCGTCGTCGTCGTCGTCGTCGTCGTCGCAGTCGCAGTCGTAGTCGTAGTCGTAGTCGTAGTCGTAGTCGTAGTAGTAGTAGTAGTAGTAGTAGTAGTAGTAGTCGTAGTACTAGTCGTCGTCGTCGTCGTCGTCATCGTCGTAGCAGCAGCAGGCTACAGTACTTCAGTGCTCACCTTCCAACGGAGACCCAATGCTTTGAAGCACCGACGCCCAAGCACTCATACGTGATGCCCGGCCCTAAACCCTAAACCCTAAACATGGCGACCCCCTCATCTTTAAGACATGCAGCCTTCTCAGAGCTTCTGGTTTCGTGGTACGGGGTTGAGGTCTCGTTGATCTCGGATCTTCAAATCAAGTCAAATTGATATCGGGTTGTCACATGTGTATTGTTACCTCCTGCGTATTAGAAGAGCACTAGAATTCATTGTAATGCCTGGTAAGTGCACCTCACAATCGTACTCCTCGCGAAGGGCAGAGTCCTGCACCCGGATCTGTCAGAAAGCACCCTAAGCTTGCCCATGTGGGGCTTAGAGTTTAGGAGTTGAGGGTTTGGGGCTTAAGGGGTTAAGCTTAAAGCCTCGGTGTCAAGTAGGGCACCTTCAACCTATGATGTGTGTTTAGGGTTTATATAACTTGCAATTTCATGTGCACGGAGTCCGTTGTTCCGCCGAAGATGTCCAGGACATCGCCAACAACCTACCAGGACCCTCCTTGTACCCTAGGGTTTAGGGTCTAGGGTTTAGGGTAGCCTCAAATAGGGTACATGGTCCCAAATCAATAGAGTAGTTCGGCTGAAATAGAGGGTAGAGGGAGGGTCTAGGTGATCTTAAAGCTCATGATCGCACAGTTCCCGCGCCCCAGTGTCCGACGCCGGGACTCGGAAGACCCAAACCCTAAACCCTAAACCCTAAACCCTAAACCCTAAACCCTAAACCCTAAACCCTAAACCCTAAACCCTAAACCAAACTTAAAGTCGGAAGACCCAAACTTAACGCTCTAAAGCCTGAATCAGCTAAACCTCGAAGCCCAACACTCTGTGCCCCACAACCCAAGCCCTACCCAGAGACTCCAAAACCCCTTAATTTATAAGGAATATACCTTAAACTATGATAGGAATCCTAATATGACTTTAAGGTATATTCCTTAGTTAAGGGGTTTTGGAGTCTCTGGGTAAAAAACCTACTACGTGGAAGCCCGCCCGGAGCTAAAAACGCCCAGGTTTGTGCAGCGCACTGCAAAGCTCGGGCTCCAACGCCACTTGACCGTCGGCTGAAGGATGTTGATTTATAGATCCGGGCTCAGGGTCACTAGAGTCAAGGGACGAAAGGAGGGACCCTTAAAGGGACCCTTGGGGTTATATCGGGCTATATGAGACTATATAAGGGGTATATAAGGGTTATATAGGGTATTTGGATGAGGGGTCCCTTCTGGGGGTCCCTTAATAAAGGGTTTTGGGTTTTAGTGCTCGGGGTTTAATACCAGGAACCTTCTTGTACCCTCAAAGAGGGGTAGATGGTCCGTGTTCAAGCGTATTTCGGGTCTCATTGAGGGCAGATGGAGGGTCTAGGGTTTAGGGTCTAGGGTTTAGGGTTTAGGGTCTAGGTACAGAGCTTTCGGGTGCATACTTGGAGGTTCATGGGTAGTTATAGGTAGGGTTATATAAATCCCCTAATATGGGTTATAACCATAGTTACCCTACTTATAACTCCATTTATAACTACCCATGAACCTCCAAGTAGGGGGTTTAGCTTGTAATCGTATTGGGTTTCGAGTGGTCTTCAACTTTTGTTGGATTGGTGCGGGTCGGATGGGTCGGGTGGAAAGACAACCTTTGGAACAGCAAAAAAAGTTGGGATTGGCGGGGGTTAGGGTTTCTGGTTTAGGGGTTTAAGCACGTGTCAGCGGTTGACGAGCAAGCTCCTTACAGTGTTCGAAAATCTGCTGCTGCACCTTTGAGAACCCTTTCAGATGGAATGGTCTCGTGGACAGCTTCGTCATCGTTTCAGGCGAAGAAGACATCGTGGAACAGAGCGTGCGACTGCCGTTGGAGGCAACGGAGTTGCCAACAAGCAAGGGGCAAGACAAGGCTACATAAGAGATGGGAGAGGTGCTTGAGCACAAAACGAGTCTTCTTCACCTGGCTTTCAACTTCAAGCGGAATAAGGACCCAGCACTCAGGGATAGCAAGGGTGCACGTCTTGGTGCACATCGAGTAGGTTTCATTATCATTGAGCTGTTCCAACAAGATGATGGAATCGAGCCAAACATTTAGCTTAGGGTTGCCGGGCATGGGAGCTAGGGGGATCTTAACACGTAGAATCCTTTTGGGAAGCATCCTTGTGTTAGGGAGCCCCAAACGTGCACAATTAGTGGCTTCCCACCCTGGGTTTGGGAATCACACAAAGCATCAATTCCAGGTTTTAGGGGTTTAGGGCCAAAGTTTAGGGTTTAGGGGTTTCGGGGTTAGGGTCCGAAACACAAAGCCTTCACAGGGTTTGGATGTTATACGGGTGTATGACTTGGCATGTGCCGAAAAGGATCACAAACATCCAGAAGCCAAGCATCCCACCTGTGCGGTGTTGAGACGCCAAAACCCAGTTTGGGTTTCACACTAAGCCCTAATCTTAGACCTGTAATATAGGGGCCTAAATAATTACATATACTATTTTGGGGGCTTCCTTATTCCAATTATAATCCAATATAGCCCACAACCCTGTTCTAATTCTTAAGGCCCCTACATGAACCATGAGGATCCAAAGGACCTTATATTCATGTACTTATAGGTTACGGATAGTAGTTTTGTAAGTTAGTATTCAGAATATGAAATACTTGGACCCTTAGGGTAATCTGGCTGCGTTACGGTCAAAGGTTGCGATGGTCGGGTGGGAGAGTGGGTTTCAGGTATAGAAGCTATGGCTTAGAGTTGGAGGAGAGGGTGGGAGCGGTTAGTTGGCAGAGGGGCATGTAATTGCGGAGCAACCAGCATATATGATTCAGATGGTCTTTATGATACTTTCAGGGTTTCTGAGGAAATCCAGCCTAAACCCGAAATCCCAGGCCCTAATACAACAGCCCTGCTTTACCAACCCCGCTCAGGTGAACTTCGTCGTCCAGTCTTTGCTCTTTGCCTCGGCAGATACGAATGAGCGAGATGGTCGGGGCAACAGCCCGCTGCGGCAACTGGGCCCAGAATGTTCTGCTCAGCTTTGGATTTAAGCCTCGATGAAATGAAGCCCTGCGGCCTCGGGCATAAGCCGAATCAACACCTACCTAAGGAACGCTTTCCCTGGTATAATTCCGGCGCGGGGTCTAAACACGGGGTTTAAATTCAAGAACCGGGGTTTAGGATTTAGGGTGATTTCTGTTCTTGATCCACTACCTGTTTTGATGTTGACGACTGCTCCTATGGATTCATAAACAGTTTCTCTCGAAGAAAAGGTGGGCTACCGATGAACTTTGCACTTCTTGTACGTTGAAATACTCTGATGCTGTTGAATGCTCGCCCGATGTCTGGCTTTTCCTCCCATCAGCCGCGCTTCGATTCGATCAAGAGGCCAGAGCTGACCCATTCGGCGTATGCCGATTGCAGATAACGCTCTAACGTCCTCTTCACCACAGACCTTGGGTCTACTCGTCTGCTCAATCTTGACGGTCGTCCTACCAGATCTTCTGACATTTGTGTGCTGAAGACCAGTGGGTTGAGAGCTTCGTAACCACCACCTGCAGCCCTCAACAAATCGAGCGCACAATGATGGAAGGGATGTAGCTTCGGCTGGAGTGTAAAAAGTGTTTTGCCCTGGGCGTGCGCCAGCTGAGCACACTGCTCGTATCTTCGCAAGAACTGGCTGGCCAATTGGCCAGCCTCGTTGGATCTCTCCACAGAAAGCCACACGTCCTCAGAATACAAAATTCTAAAGAATTTGTTGGCCACCTTGACAGCTGAGAGGGCCTTCTCCAGTAACGGACACCCTGATGGATTGTATGCCTCAGCCCATTCAGGCATGTTCGTTGTGATGGCAGCTTTGAACCAGCTGCCTTTGGGAAAATCTGTGGTCGCATTCCAAGAAATCATATCCTTGGTGATCTTGACGAGCATAGCAGATTTCTTGTTCTCTTTGCACCAAGTCACATATTTCGCTGACACCTTTTCCAATCGCACCTCAATGTTGCCTGTCTCCATGTCTGTAAACATAGCGATGACGGATCCCATCAAGTGCTTGCCCACCCCCAAATGGAAGGTGTGAAAGATGTCAAAAGCAAAGTGCTCTGCTAGTCTTCCCGCTGAGTGCGGGACACGGGCAGCAGCCGGAGGGCCCTTGAAGGGTGACGAAGCATTGACAGTGCGTGCCCAAGCTGGCTGTCGTGTACCGATCTCTTCGAAAGCAATACGATCGGTACCTGCTTCGCATAAATGACAGATAGGCTTTGCAATTTGGTCGACGCGTTTAACTGTGTTAGCATAAGACCGATCCAAACGGCCGCTTTTGGCCAAAAAGGGCCAATCACCGACTGTCCGTATCAGTGCCACGTGGTACCGTTTCCCGGCGTGCTCGATGCCTGTATTGATCATAAAAACAGCGTCATCACAAGTTCTTTCCAAAAGAGCGTCAAACGATCGATCACCCTCCAAATAAAGATGTCGCGGCAAGACTGCCGTAATCAGGCGGGTTGTAAAGCTGTGTCCCTTCATATTAAGCTTTTGCTTGAGATACGGTTTCCGGACCCCAGTTGTCTTCTGTGTCTCCAAAGCCAAATTTGTACCACGTCCTAATACGGAATGAAAAGATAGGACCATGAATGGCGCACGGCGGCGGCCGCGTCCCTCGTCGCCGTGGAGCACGACCGCCGCCGTGCGTCCCAAGTCGATCCGGCCGTCAGCAGCCATCTCGTACACCGGGTGATTCGGCTCGATGAAGCGAAACTTGTCCCACCATGATTTCCAGATCTTTTCTGATCTCTCTGCATCAGGTCTGACCAAGCCAGACAACATGTGCCAATTATTTGACCGAAGCAGAAAGGTAACCCAACTCTGCAGACTCAAGGTTTGCAGCTCCAGAATTGAAATGTCGGAATCTTTGGACTTCCCAATTCGTGAATCCGTGGGCACTGAAACCGTTGAAAAAGGAATCGGTAATGCTAGCTTCAACTTCTTTGCAAAAAGCGTTCGGGTGGCTTGTTCAGAGTGATTCAGGGAGCACTTTGCCAAAGCCTCGAGGCCTCCACTGCAGCGGGCCTGATCTCGCCCCACGTCCTTGATGACATTCCGGGCAGTTCTGATGGCCGTCCGACAAGGAGCCTCAGCCACCGACATGTTTGCTTATATGACTCAAGAAACGAACTGCTCAAAGTGCAACACGTCAACTCAAGCACACGAGGCCGGCTTGCAGTGCACATCTCTGCTGTGAACATTTTCGCTCGCTTCCCCAGAGGCTTGCTTCAGTGAGACGTTTTATTTATGTAGACATCCGGAGGATACTTGAAAGATCTGTACACAACATAAGTCATGAAAACATCATCCGCCCCGACCAAAGAAGTCTGCACCGTGTCCCCGCCGGATTTGATATTGCGGCAGCCCTCTGTGCCTTGTCGGGACCCGAACTGCGATTCGACACGTGTCTGGAAACAAGACCAAACGAAACGGATTGCAGACGAGCCGCTTTCAAATCTCGAAATGAGGGCAGCTTCTAGCATGGATGGCCCGAAAGGCTCTTTCGAAACGTAGACAACCTTCATGTCACTCCACTTGGCTTTGTCATGTTTGTACCCATAAAGTGTATTGTTCCACCGCCACACTGCGTCGTGAGTATAGCCGAATTTGAATATCATCGGCCTGTGCTTCTTGTGGAGATTTTCGAACCGCTTTATGGCGTGCCACAAGACTTTTCCACTCGTGGCGTTGTCGGGTGGGAGATCGAAAGTAATACAACCAAGTCGAGAACACTCGACCTGAAGATTTGCAAGTTTTGTAGAATCTTTCAGGCCAGAAACCATGGGGTCGGAACTGACAGAACTGTGTTGGATGCTCGTGGTGCTGGGGTCTTCAGCCGCGCTCGCCAAAGGTTTTTTCCCCAAGACCCCAAGCTTGCTATCGGAGGAACACTCGGGCGTGCTGGACCACGGAAAGGGTCCTTCAGATTCCTGCCAGATCATATTGGCTTCAAGAAAAGCGACCCAATTAGTTCATGTACGAAATCCATGAAACCCCCAAAGCCATAAAATCAAAAAGTACGTATATATAGTTGATAAAGTCAAGAATCATCTCGATGACATGTCAGTAGGTCCAATAGCTCAGCTTCTGGGCTTTCGATAGAAGCAAGGGAAGCATCCATGGCACATAAACCCGCTGCTTTTCCCATTCATTTCATGCATGGAGCCACAGATTTGTGAAAGTCAAGAGCAGAATGCATCGGGAAGTCCGGAAGAAGCCTAAGAGTCGGGCCCCATCGCCGATCTCCTTGCTCAATTGCCGAACGAGATTGCCCGGAGGTTGACCTGGCGTGGGGGATTATACAGGTGATCTGGTGCTGGGTTGGTGGGTTGCGAATGATCAACAGCAATCACTGATTTCTCGCATGCAGCACTCACTCCCCAGGATGCTGCTAGGTCGTGAAACGGGAGTGTGCAAGCTCGCTCTACGGATCATACCGCAGATCTCGATCGAATTGTTGCTTTCGGGATCTCGGCTTCATTGCTAGAACCCTGCCCAAACAGAAAGCTTCAAAGCACTGTCTACCTTAAGAACCCAAAACCCACTTTCTTGTAGGTTCTTATTATGAACCCTAATATGGGATTTATAGGGACCCTACAAAAAAGTAGGTTTGGGGTTCTTCAGGTATAGACTCTGGATTCTAGAATCTAGAAACTACTTCTTTGGCTTGGATTTGCCCTTAGCCTTCGGCTTGGCATCTTCCTTTTTTGGCTCCTCGGGCTTGCTTTTGGCCTTGGGCTTCGGCTTGGAGTCGTCTTCATCCTTCGTGTAGTACTTCTTGGCATTCCTGCGTGCAAGGCTGTTTGTTGCTCAGCAGGGACCTGTTGGTATCCCTAAATATATTCAGCAACTCTGACGTTTAAGGAAGATGAATAATACCCCGTTACATACAAGACTTCTATAGGAGCCCAAACAAGTCCATAGGGTTGGCACGGTTGAAATACAGAAAGAGTCTCGAAATACAGATTTTTACACATAAGACCCAAGGACTCCTGAACCCTGTTGCTTTGATGAAAGAAAGAGATAGGCGACCTGTGGTGCTTCCTAGGACCTAGGAAGCACCACTAAAACATGATAGTGCAGTAAGGCCGAACTACCAAGACGTGTCAACCGGACCTATATGAATAATACGTCAACATAAGCTATGCTGTTGAGGTATTACATTAAGAACCCAAAACCTACTTTTTTGTAGGGTCCGTATAAATCCCATATTAGGGTTTATCATAAGAGGCTACAAAAAAAGCTGGGTTTTGGGTTCTTAAGGTACTTTATAGGTCCGATTGTCACGTCCTGGTAGAAACCCACGGTTTGCGGTTTAAGTTCCCGGATAGCAACTCTATATATGGGTACTCGCGGACCCATACATATATAATATATATAGATAGATAGTTTGAAAAGGTTTCTAGTTTTGATAGATGCGTACAGGCTGTACAGGGATCAGGGCCAATGGCTAGATGGGTCGATTTCTTTGTCGCTCTCTCTCTCTCTCTCTCTCTTTCTATCTGCTTCTATAGCCCTGGCAGCATTGATCCAATGGCCTATCTATAACCGACCTAAAACGAAACCGCCCAAACCATCCCCAAACAAAGACCAAGCCCCGTATAAGCAACCCCGTGGCCCATCCAATGGCGCCTCGTCTTCACTTCGGTCGCGGATGCCTTTGTGCACCTCGGGAAGCGATTGATGGTTATGGTTTCGTTTGGTGATTCATTAGAACCTGGGCTTCAGGCACAGCAGTGGCCTTTTGCATGGCGGATTCAGCTGATTTCTGAAACCTGGGCTGTTGCAGCCGAAGGTGATAAGCTTTAAATTAAAAGGTTTCGGGTTTATACAGGGTTTATATAAGTTTCTATAGTCCTATAGCAAACCGCTTCCGAGTTTAGTCAAATCTCTGTTCCGGATCCATACCCGGTGCAGATGCTTTCCCAAGCACCTCTGAGCATGCATCGTACTGAGCCTCCACAGCTTTGACCTCAGCATCCAAAGCCTCCCGGCTCCTGAGTTTCAACGAGGCTTGAGGTGGGAATGTCTATGCTGGTGTATTGCGCACGTTGATGTATTGCAAGTGGGTATCTTCCTGGCACCAGAATCCTGCGAGTAGCCTTTGCAAAGCGTCTTGTGCAGGGCACGAAGCTTGCCCGACAAAGCCATCGTAGACTCCAGGAACTTCTCAAGCGCAGCTTTCGTCTGATCAGGCAACATGGTACGAGTATACACACGGCAATTCCATTTAAAGATACAGCTTGCATACAGACACGCACACACAAAGACACACCAGGGTGCCTGAGCAACCTTATGGTTTGTCGGGTGTTCTTCCGGGGCCGGCAAAGCTTTCTGCGGGGCAATCGTAGGCAAACACGGCTTCTCTTTGTCCTTCTCGGACAAACCCAGGTGCTGGGGCACATCTGGCAGGTCGGAAACCTGCCACGTGGCTTTGTTGAATCGGGGCTTACTTTAAGGCGTGTATTTAGGGTTTACAGAGGGTTTAGGGTTAGGGTTTACATAGGTTTATAGGATTTATTAGGGCTTCTGTACAGTTTATAAAGTTGTCTCCAGGGTGCTATACAGGATTTGAGGGTGCCTTCTGGTTCTTCTGATGCTGCTCGCAGTAAGCCTGGCTTTGCTTCCTCTTGCCGGTTTCCCTGGTCTTGACATAGTACTCCTCTTCATTGTCGTAGATGTTCTGCCTGACGTCAAGAGAACTTCGATCTTTGGGATTGGATTAGTTTAGACGGACTGCACTTTCCACCTGATCAAGTTGTCAGGGTCCTTCCGGCAGAGGGCCACAGCTCCGTTTCGACGGGCCCTTAGATAAAGTGTAAGAGGATACATAGGATCTATATATAGAAATAGCTCGCAGCACAAGGGGCTCTGCTATTAGGTTTACAGGGACTATGGGGTCTTAGATGGCTGTGGCTGAAATTAAGAGCCAGAGAACTCTGACCAACCCAAATCATTTTCCATCTCGGCGATGGTATACCAACCTTCGTCGATCACAAACTCAATCTTGCGCTTGTACGCGATCGTGATCTGAAGTGTGGAGATGAACTTCTCCTTGTGTGGCAGGGCTTGGCTGTAAGGCTTCGTTCGTAATTTCAAGGGTTCGGTTTATTTAGGGCTTTAGGATTTTGAGGCTTGGGTTCAGAGGGGCTTCAGGGTTGTATTGGGGCTTTCATCCAGGATTAGGTGGTCTTTGTATCGGGAGTAGTTTCAGTTGTTACCGAGGGTTCTTTGGGGTTTCACGAGACGAAAGACTTCCTGTAGATAGGACTTGCTGCCGGCTTGGAAGCTCCTACCTTAAGAACCCAAAACCCGCTTTTTTGTAGGTTCTTATTATAAACCCTAATATGGGATTTATAGGGACCCTACAAAAAAGTAGGTTTTGGGTTCTTATAAGGTATGCACAGCAGTGTAGCTAAGCATTTTCATAAGAGGCCTTTGGGGCATCAGCGGCTTGAGAGGCATGGTTTACTTTCGGACAAGCTACTTTGTCGAAGTTGGCAGTCTGCAACATTTGCGCCATGGCTGTCTTATTGCCGTTCTGCCATTCTTCTCGCACGAATGGGGGAACCTGCAGGTCCTTCCGCTTCGTTTTGGTCTGAATCATGCGTTCGATTCTTGCCTTCGCGGCACGTAGAAGGCGCTCCTTAATCACATGTGTCGGTCAAAGCCAAGGTGCTATTCTGGTGTGACTTAAATATTTCGGGCACATTATTGATCTGGGTGGCTTGGCGCGTGTATTCGCGCTTCTGAGGCTTCTTGTCACACATCTCAGCATCGGTTTCCTCCTTCACAATCTGATGCCGGGGCGGCGGGGTCTGCAAGGAATCGGGTGCATCATCCCGTTCGTCGTCGTTGTCGTCATCACCATCACCTCCCATAATAGTGGTCATGAACTGCAGGAAGTCAGCAGCTGAAACCTCCAGAGAGAAACAAAGTCATGACTACGATTCAGAAACAGGATCACCCACAAAAGCAACCTGCTCCAGCTCATGCTCCGACGTTTGGTTCGGTCCCTGCAGAAGGGTCCAGAAAAGTAGCAACCAGTAGGCTCACGAAATATGGCAGCTGCTAACACAAGACCTATGTTTCTGTAAGTGTCGGACATTCACAGAAGGCCAGGGGGGTGCACAGTCCGTCTCGGTGTCTGATATGACCATATACTCATCATGCTGTGCATCAGTAGGAGCCAGCTCGCCCGGGCCGGTGTTGGTAGCAAGCCCAAGCTGAAGCTCGGCCGGGCCGGCGTCAGCACGAACCCCAAGAACCTGCACACCCAACTCCCGAAGCTCCTCCGCTGTAGCCTCGCCAGACAAAACCCAAAGCCAAGACCGGTGTGGCTGTTTTGACAAAATCAACTCAGGCTATGGCGGGCACAGCGTCAGCTGCTGGATCTGGATCCATAAGAGCTTCGGCCTAATCAGTGAAGGGTTTTTTGAAAGACCCACAAAGCCCATTCCTAAGCGGCCTCGTCGACACGTAGTTGCTCCTCGAGGTCCTGCGAGAAAGACACTAAGTTCGGTTCATTGGAATCCAGCTAGATGATTGCATTCTGTATCAATATATATCTCTGAAAGGGTCCTCTAGCTCCAGAAGCAGTGCTTCTTCCTCCAGTGTAGCTGATGCACCGAGCACGTGGGCCATCCCTGCCTCTAAAGTACTACACGACCAAAGTTTCGACAAGGCTTTTCCTTCCATGCCGGGGACTCACTTAAGCCAGTCCTGCAAGCGACAAGGAAAATTCGGAATGCATTTGCAAGCAGCCAGCATCCGTCCTATATTTACGACAGTCAAGGATCAATCATTGATGTGTTCAAACCATCATTTTCCTTCCCCTCGAGATATGTGCTGTGCGTACATCCACAGCACCGAATTGGAGGCAACATTGCCGCAGCAGCGGCTGCTTGACGATGCACTGACTGCGCGGCTGGTCGTCTTGGCAGCTACACGGGGGGCTAAATTTAGTCTACAAGGGGGTATGTACAAACCCGGGGTTTACCCATGCCCGGGGCATGGGTAAATCATGGGTTGGGCATGGGTAAATCACGGGTTGGGCACGCTTTCGGGTAAACCCGGGGTTTGTATATAGAACCGGGTTCTAGGGTTAGAGATCACGGGTTAAACTAGTAAATCACGGGTTGGGCACGGGTAAAACACGGGTTTGGCACGGGTAAATCACGGGTTAGGGCTATGATTGTGGCTTCAAGCACTATATTTGTTTAATTTGAATTATAAACACGCAAAATTCTCCAAAAGAGCCCGCAACAACTCAAAAAAGCACCCAAAACTCCCGCAGGACCCGCCAATCTAATCCCGAAACCGATCCCGCAGCCCTCCCAGCCCACTTTTGAGCATTGCCTCGCTACCAGTGTACTAGCCTAGCCTAGCCGAAGCCGATCCAACCGTACCGTGGCATGACACTAGTATCCTCCCTACTAGGAGTCCGCCCTATAGCCTCGATTCCGACCTACACAGGAACTTATATCTATATAGGCGTTTATTGGGTTTTGATAGAGCTTTGTGGCCTTGGGTTTTTCTAGGGTTTGGATGGGTTTGGGGCTTCGTAGTGGTTTGGTGCTTTTTATATAAAAGGGTGATCGGGGTCGTTCGCATTTTGTATATATATATATATATATATATATATATAGTTATATATAGTTCCTACGAGGACCCCTTGGGGATAGGGTGTTGGGCGGTTCCTGGCTCAAGGATTCTTGTGTGTCATGGAGGACAAGCTATGATAGCCTCGCAACCCTGGCCACCTTGTCAGCTCAGTGCAAACTAATGGTTGGCGGCACTATGCTGCGCCACACATCTGGTATCTTGAGCTTCCTACATCCTCTAAGATACACGTAAACTTGGTTGAGGTCAGCAAAGGTGAAAAACTCATCCACATCCTCTTGGCCTAAAGGAAGTGTAGCGACACTTGTAAGAGCGTCGGGAACAACTCCATCCTCAGGTGGAAACCCCTTGCGCTTCTGCTTCATCTGCTGACAGATGCGGAGATACTCGATGGCAAAGTTCACAGGGTATTGCCTGGGCTGGTACCGAAAACGGGTCGAGGCTTCTTTAGATAAGGTGCCACCTACCATTATATCGTACTCCTTGAAACCTCTTAGAAGACTCTCCTCTAGTGTCAGGTTCGGGGGCAGTGTGCGATAAGGCTTTATTCGAACGAGAGGCTCGCTGTCCTTTAAATCAAGTTTTCCCTGCCAGCACTGCTTGCCCTTCCTGTCCTGGAAGTGTCTGGTAGTAGTGCTGCGTCGTCGTTTTCTGGACATCAGTAGGCGGCCTTTGTTCAAAAGGCAAGCTGCAGTCGAGTTTGCAAATACGTAATGGCGCTTCAGGTACTTGGAGTTGTAGTGAGCCATCCAAAACGAAACTTTGGTGACCTAGGCTTCTTTTGCAGAACATCACACAATGTATATGTTATTGCACTGCACCATACAACGGCTACTTCACACTCTGGTCCCACAGCTTAAGGTTCAGGCTGCAAAGGGTCCAGCAACAGCCCACAGATTGTTCAGGAAGTACCGCCATGTGGGATAGAACTCCAGGACGGAACTTATGGGTTGCTCCAGGGTCCACACAGCATCGACGCATGTGGCCAACATGACCAGGAGGGTTGTCCTTGAGCAGGCTTGGACTGTAAATAGGGTTTTTTTGTAGGTTCAGGTAAGTCGAATATATTGGAGCCTTATATTGGAGGGTCAAGAAAACAGGTTTGCCTATGGGGATTGAAAGTGTTGTGCATTGTCTTCGAACATATTACCATTATAGGGTCGGAGGCTCCGCTCCAGCAGCTTGTTGGAGTAGGAGACGGACGGAAAGTCCGCGTTGCCCACCGCGGAACAGGCTGTTCGGCCAGAGGTTGCACGGTTCATCGAGACTAGGGACGAGCATTTCAGGCCGAAGTGTATAAAGCCGCCAGGACCAGTTGTTGCCAGCTTCAGAATGTAGATGATTGCGAGACTTAGTAGAAAACTGTTGCGAAGTATTTCGGCTGTGGGATTACGTGGGATTGCGGCGGTCGGGCTTAGATGAGTTTATTTTACCCCTATTATATATATATATAAGCCCTACTATAAACAATATATATACCAGGACGTGACAATCGGACCTATAAAATAATACTTCAACAGCATAGCTTACGTTGACGTACTATTTATATAGGTCCGGTTGACACGTCTTGGTAGTTCGGCCTTACTGCACTATCATGTTTTAGTGGTGCTTCCTAGGTCCTAGGAAGCACCACAGGTCGCCTATCTCTTTCTTTAAGAACCCAAAACCTACTTTTTTTTTGTAGGGTCCCTATAAATCCCTTATTAGGGTTTATAGTTTATAATAAGAACCTACAAAAAATGGGTTTGGGGTTCTTAAGGTATATACACCCTAAAATTAGTATCACACCAACTTGCAAAAAAGATTCGCGAAACCTGCTCTCGAGTTCAGGTCCATGTAGTTGGAGGCACCCTTCTTCTTGGAACTGAAATCACATAAGTCAAATCTGGCAGATTTGAATCGACCAGCCGCCCTCATGATTCGATGAATATTACCGCGCTCAGCAAAGAACTCCAGAAAGCCATACTCCTGACAAAAGGAAGAACAGTCATGAAGTCAGACCCCATGACGACCCGAACATTCACCCCGGTAAGTATAACCAGCCTGCTGCAAGAGGGTTTCGTCGACACACCAGATGCATAGTAAGACCGTGAGGACGAAGCCCTGAGCAGTTTGTTTTGTTTTGATTTGGATTGGGGAAAGGCTAGTAGGAGGGACACAAGAACTTTGTTGCGCTCATACTGTCGATTGGCCTTGGGAGCACGGAGTTCGCACAATCGCCAACAAAGAAGGTTGACATCCATCGTGGCGGTGCTGCTGCGAGGACATGGGACCGGCAGTGTTACCAATATGTTCTGTGGCGGGCGCAAGCCTGATTTCTACACTCATGTGCTGCCTCTGAACAGGAGCGTGAAGCATTTGGGTCACATTGCGCCAAACACGATGCCCAGACCCTTGCACACAGTATAAAATGTGGCTGCAGGACACTTCTCCTTCTGGCTGGCGAGACGAAGCTTCCACAATGCACCTTTCGGCAGAAGGGGCATCCGGACCTGGGCGACGGAGTGATTGGAATCGTTTTTTTTTGGGTTGGGTTTGCGTACGGCTCGGTGTTTATAAAGGGTTTAGGGTTTGTAGGGTTTAGGGTTATATAGATGGAGGCTGTAGGGTTCATTTAAGATTCGGGTTGTAATGGACCAGACCTCTATTGTCAACCTAGAAACCCTATATAAACCCTATAGAACCTAAACCCTAAATTGGCTTGGGTTCTCAGGCAGACTGACTTTGTCTTCAAAGGCCAAGATACACACTTCGATTCTGGGGTAAACATTTTGTGACGGGCTTATTTAGAGCCTTTAGGGTTTATATCGGGTATACGTATATATATATATATATATATATATAGGGCTAAATATAAATATAAATATAAATATAAACATAAATATAAATATATATATATATATATATACAGGGGGGGGCTTTCTATGTATCCTTAAGAACCCAAAACCCACTTTTTTGTAGGTTCTTATTATAAACCCTAATATGGGATTTATAGGGACCCTACAAAAAAGTAGGTTTTGGGTTCTTAAGTATAGGGTTGCCAATGAACTCAGGTTGTAGATCATCTTTTCGGCGGAAGTCCTCGAGAGGATCGCTGCCCCAGGGAACACGATCAAGTGTGCAAAGGACACGGGACACAAGAGTAAGTTAATATCACCATCTTTCATCACATGTGTCCTGGCTCTGCACATCTGATGAGTAGAACGCAAGCAAGCATGAACTGCCGCAAAAGTCCCAGACTTGCGTAAGAGCGCAGACTGATACTAGGCAGCCTGTGAAAATGACTTCTAAGGAACCCTACAAATTGTACAATATATATACCCATACAAGAGACCCGGTAACCACTTGTCGTTCCTGGCCACAACACAGAAACAACTCGTGTGCAAGTCGGGGACGTTCCGATATAATCTTGCTGTACCCTGTGTCTGCAGCCTACGCATCTGTACAGTTTGATCGACTCCCACCGCACAAGTTGTTCAGCAACTTGGGTTCCCTTTCGATGCCATGTACACGACGCCAGTGCAGCATCTAAAGATATAGCTTTGAAATCATCGGAACAAAACAACCGGCATGGCTTGCTGCTCAGACCGTGACAAGCGCCAAATTAGTCATCGCGCTCGAAATCATATCCCGGATGCCATCCTTCATCATTTCCACTTCGATGCACTCGTGGTCGTAGGCTCCCTGCGCGATGTAATTGTCCTCGAGGAGGCCGTCCAAGTAGACCGCAAACATCTCGCCGCCTTTCATCACCACACACATCTTCTGCGCCCAGTCCAAGTCAGCAGATGCACCACTGCTGGAGAAGTTCACAATCTCTTTCTTGTCCCACTTCCTGAGAATCCCACAGCTGCACCTCGTCCAGTAGTGGGTCAGGCCGTGATGGGTGGGCGCTTGCAAGTCACCCTTCATCTTGAACTTCCACTGCGGCGTCGAGGTGGCATTGTTGAACTTCTTAGCGAACTCCACCATCTGATCTCTCAAGTCGTCGATCTTCTCAACCTGGAAGTACTTCTGAAGGGCCTTCTTCATGGTCAAGAAAGGGGCACTCGAGGAGCTCGTCGACACCTTTGGCTTCCGACCCCTGCGCTTTGGCGCCGGCTCCTCGATCACAGGCTCGGGCACCGGCTCCTCTTTGGATTTGGTCTTCTTCTTGCCGGTGGCCTTTGGTGCTGCCTTGGCCTTGGGCTGTGACTTCGCCTTGGCTTTCGCCTTGGCTTTCGCCTTGGCTTTCCCCTTCGCTTTCGCCTTCGCTTTGCACTTGGCCTTTGCCTTCGGTGCCTTTCGCTTGGCATTGGTCTCAGCCTCCGTGGCTTCCTCCGGCTCCGAAGGCTCCTCAGGAAGCTTGTCCCAGCCTTCCGGCAAAGGCGGCATGGCCATGATCTCTTCATCCGTGGGGACTGGAAAGCACTTGATCATGACCCTCTTGCGACTCACACGGGCCCTCCGAGTCCTCTTGCCCTTGACGAGTTTTCTCTTCTTGTTGCGCTTCTTGACCGGGTCGGCTTCCTCAGCCCCACCCTTCCGCTTCTTCTTGAGAGAGGACCGCAAGGACAACTGAGCCCGTCTCGTGATCGTAGGCGGCGTCTTGAGGGCTATAATCGGATACAGAAATCAGGAAATATAACATCAAAACCTATTTGCGAGAGGATTCCTTATCTACCCGCTCATAGCTTATTTATGGACCAGCACATTTACAAAAATCCTTCTGAGCCCCTATTAATGAGCAAGCTGACATCTTGTACATAAATACGTATACAGTCTTTCGAGATGACAGCCTCGACCTCGCTCTCAGTGAAATCGGCAGGACCTCTGCTGCCCGCCTGCTCTACATCGGCCACTGGATTCGAAACTGGCGCTGCGTCGGCCACTGGATTCGAAACTGGCGCTGCATCGGCCACTGGATTCGAAAGTGGCGCTGCAGGAGGCACTGGATTCGACACTGCTGCATCTGTCACAGGATTCGCAAGTGGCACTGCGCATGCCACTGCATTGATCGATTTTGCTGCTTCTGTCACAGGATTCGGCAGCGGTGCTGCCGGTGGTGCTGCCTCGGCCGCTGGATTCGACAGTGGCTCTGCTTCAACCATGTTCGCTTCCGGTAGCTCGGCACCAGCCATAACATCCCAGGGCTGGGTCTCGTCGGAAGCACTGCCGAAAGACGTATGGGCACTCGATCCTGCTTGCATCTTGGGGCTCGGGGTTTTATTGCAGGGTGGTTTTGTTTATTGGCCCAGAGATAGTTTATCTGCATTAATCAAAGTCCACCGGCAGTTCTTGAATGTCCTTGGGGTTCCGAAGGAGCAGGAACGGATACGGTTGGCGCGGATCCGGACCTGGGCTCCACCCTGTATAAACCCCACACCCTATATATATATATATATATAAACCCTAAGAAACCCTAAATATAGGACATGATGAGATATGAATATTATACTTGCGTCGGCCACAACACACAAAAACATTGGATGAAGCTACCAGCTGACTGCAACGACAATCGCTCCCTCAAAGCTGCCACTCTGGCTTTGATTGCAGCACGGTCTTGCTCCGAAAGCCGAGAGCCTTCAAGTTTACACAAACAAACTGATTGCCCAACACGACGACCCCTTGCAGGCTGCTCGAATGGCCTCGCGATTGCGTGGAGGAAGCCTGACTCGGTGTTGGGGTCCAGGTCTGCTTTGCCGCATACTCCTGTAGGAAAAACTCGGGTTTCGGGTATCTATAGGCGTTATGTAGAATTTATGTAGGATTCATAAGGTTGGGCTATGTTGGGGTTTTAGTACTGACCCGGTGTCCTTTGCTGGCTTCGTAGGCATCTCACTCTCGGATTCAGAAGTTGAAAAGCTTCCCATCTTTGAGATTGCAGGGCTGGGCGTTTCTGCCCCGGGCGATGCGAACTTCTGTTTGGGTTCCGGGGTCGTGATTGGGTGGGCTGTGCATGCCTGGGGTGAAGCTACCAGGGCCCCACCAACAATCAAGGAAGGAGCTGCATCGGCTTTCGTCTTGGGGATTGAAGGCTCAGGCTCTTCAGGCTTGGGGGCAATTGCAGGCACCATCGGAGGCTCGGAAGGTGTTGGGATGCTGTCTGGAGCCGATGGAGCGCCCTCAACTGGTTCTTCTTCGGCTTCGTCCGCATCGTCGTCGTAAGCATCCTCATCCGATTCCTGCAAGTGAAAGACAGGTTTTCTAGCAGTCATAAACATAACCTGACAAGTAAAGAAACTGAAACTCCCGAGTCACCCAAATCGAATCGTGCCCCTGAAGTGGTCAAACCCGGCCTGCAAGGAGTCATCCTGGGCCGCCTTTTTCTGGGCATTCATGGCATCCACGCCAGCCTGCGGTAGAGAAAATGCGGAGGGAGGGCGAACACGGGATTAGACGGACTGGTTGGGTTTCGTACTGATATAGGGTATTGAGGTTCAATGTAGTTATATCCAAATTAAATGAAGACTCGCTTCTCGATTTGGGTTATAAACGGGCTTGCACAAGATGGGGAATGATATTCCGTCACCACTCAACCCCACACCAGCCTGAAGGCCCGGGTCCAATGCCACGCACAGATTTTGGAAGTCAGGATCCTGGAAGGGACTCTGGTTGGTAAATGAGAAAACATCCCTATCACCTGTGTTGGCTTTACCGAAGCACCTTGCTCACTTCACCCCGTCGAGCTTTCGCTTTGACAAACGAGAGAAGCTTTCGAATGTGGATGGCTTCGGATGCTACCAATCCCTGGATGTCGGCTCCGACGCGCTTGTTCACGGTGAAAATCTTGCCCAACTCGGTTCGGAGGTCGCCCACACTGGGCAATTTCTTCTGGTTGTTTTCCGACATGCAATGCAAAATCGGAAGCAAGATATCGCTGTTCAGCTTGCAGGTGCCGTTATCGCATGACAGGCCGCTGCTGCTGTGCATAACACCAATGCCATCTCGCAGCCTCTGTCGCACGCTCGAGCATCCATCCCAGGCTAAATGGATGTCAGTGATGATCAGCCCCGGCTCTGCAGCCTCGCCAACAAACACATCTTTGGCCTGCTTCGGATTTCGAGGCATGGCCACCAGGATCCTAAGAAAAAGCTACGCTTTCGAGCTTAGGAAAAACCGCGGTCGCGCGAGCTTGAGAGCAACATCTACTCAGTTCTTGCTGCCAGTCTTGACTGCACAACATGAACGGCTGAGATCTCGGCGGTGCTTTGAAAGCCATCTGCGGCACGCTCGCGCCGCTACTGTGTTCAGCTAATTTGTCTGGCTGAAGATATCACAATATCTGGGTTGATCGGTAATGATTATAATACAATGTATACTTATCCTAAATAAACCAATCCTTTTTAACCCATCGGCTGACGAAGCGGGCTCGTGTCTCCCTACGAAAGCCTTCTCCATCTTGTGTGAGCCTGCGGGAGGCCTGGAAGCTTCGGATTGAAGGTCTTATTGATAGGGTTTTAGGTGATATTAAAGGTAAATGGAGACATAAGATAAGTTATCATATCCGAAGAAGAAGGATACCCCAGCAAACCCGGGGTTTCATATCAGGACACGGGGTCTGTGGGAACATGCTGTCAAACCCAGGGTTTCTAAAACAACCCGACTTTTTTTCAGGCGTTGGATCCCCAGGTACTCCTTAACCCGAAACCCTCACCCTCAGCTCAGTCAGCATGCCGACACTGAAATAACGAGCGTTCCCTCGCATCTACCAGGACCTGTCAATGCCACACCTCAGGGTTTCTAGCGCAGGGTGAACAGCTAGTTGCAGCTAGTTCCCACAGCGTAAGCACTAACTATACGACCCAAAGCACCGAATGTAAATCCTGAACTCTGTCATCCCAATCGCCCCTCAACCATACTTATACGATATATCCTGAACACCTTCCTGAACCCCAAGAAGCTACCGACCCCAAATTCCGGGCCTCTTTCGGAGTTCTGCTAGAGAGCACTCATAGGAATCCTTGAATGAAACCCTAACCCCTAAAACCCTAAAATCCCCAAAAACCCCGTAAAGCCTAAACCCCTAAAACCCTAAACCCCAAACCCCTGAACCCCTAAACTCCTAATCCCGAAACCCTAAACGCCTAATCTCTAAACCCTAAATTACTCAATTCCTAAACCCTAAACCCTAAACCCCAAAAAAGCGAGCCGTCACAGAAGCCCTTCACGGAAGCGAACCCCGACAGGAAACCCTTGGGGCCTTCTCTTTAGGGGTTTAGGGGCTTAGGGATTAGGGGGTTTGGGGGTTTAGGGATTAGGGGTTTAGGGTTTTGGGGTTTAGGGGTTTGGGGATTTAGGGTTTAGGGGTTTAGGGGCTTAGGGGTTTGGGGATTTAGGGTTTAGGGGTTTGGGGTTTGGGGGTTTAGGGGTTTGGGGTTAGGGATTTAGGGGTTTAGGGGTTGAGGGGTTTAGGGTTTAGAGGTTTGGGGTTTGGGGGTTTGTAGGGTTTAGGGATTAGGGGTTTAAGGGTTTGGGGATTTAGGGTTTAGGGATTAGGAGTTTAGGGGTTTAGGGAGTAGGGGTTCAGGGGTTTGGGGGTTCAGGGGTTTAGGGCTAGGGATTTAGGGGTTTAGGGGTTTAGGGTTTAGAGGTTAGGGGTTTGGGGGTTTAGGGGTTTAGGGATTAGGGGTTTAGGGGTTAGGAGTTTAGGGTTTAGGGTTTCGGGATTAGGAGTTTAGGGTTTTGGGGTTTAGGGGGTTTAGGGTTTAGAGGTTTGGGGTTTGGGGGTTTAGGGTTGAGGGGTTTAGGGATTAGGAGTTCAGGGATTAGGAGTTTAGGGGTTTAGGGATTAGGAGTTGTGGGGGGTTTAGGGTTTAGAAATTAGGAGTTTAGGGGTTTAGGGGATTTAGGGTTCAGTTCAGGGTTTAGGGGTTTAAGGTTTTCTGGAGTGGGGCCTGGGGATCCGTCTCAGGTATGCCGTCCGCTGTGGCAGCAAGGCCGGCGCAGGGCTTGTCAAGGAATTCGCCTCCCCGAGTTCACGACAACACCTGGGGTGTAACTTTCCGAGCCCCTGAGAACATAATGAAGGCTTTACTGCTATAGAGGTCGGACAATTCGCAGTGGTATTCCCCTGTAAGCCCTGCATTACCATACTTCCTTCTCCACCCCCAAGGCCCCATCGGCACTTTAGTCAAGCCCGGTAGTTCTCTAAAATAGGGTCCCTTTTAGTGTCCTTTTTTATAAGGGTGCCGTACTATATTGGGGACCCAGAAAGGGATTAATTTAGAGAACTACCCACATAGTGGCATCGTGTTTGGAGTGTTGGGTTTGAAGCCCTAAACCCTAAGCCCCTAAACCCCTAAACCCCTAAACCCCTAGACCCTAAACCCTAAACCTCGATCAACACGTTGGGGTTCTCAGCAGTCTTCCTCTTCTGCCTCCGATAAAGATTAATTAGAGAGGAATTCTACGGTTGATGATATAAGTCCTGCATGACCCATCTTTAAGGAATATACCATAATTCCCATAGTTTAGGGTCCTTAAGGTAATGCAGGGTTTATATCATCAACAGTATCCTATTGGGTAGAAAGGTTCCTTCATGTCTGTAAGAATGCCGTCATTAAAGTTCCCCCTACCTAACCTTAAACCCTAAACCCTAAACCCAAACAAAAACCCTAAACTTGATCAAGCCCTAAACCCCCAAGCCCCGCACCAGAGACCTGAATTCACCGCAAACCTCACAGCTAAAACGTTCAGGCTTTCGGGCCTGATTCGGGGTTTAGGGTTTTAGGGTTCTCGGGCTCCAAGGTTCTAGGGTTTAGGGTTCCAGGGTTTAGCGTTCTAGGGTTCTAGGGTTTAGGGTTCTAAGGTTTAGGGTTCTAGGGTTTAGGGTTTAGGGTTCTAAGGTTTAGGGTTTAGGCTTCTAGGGCCTGATTGCTTTGATGGAGTAGGGTTTGCACTAGAGGCGTTCAAGCAAAGGTTGTACGCAGGTTTAGGGTTTAGGGTTGAGGGGTTTGGGGTTTAGGACCTAAGCCCTAACACCCACCCACACACCCCAACCCCCGCTCCGACCCGCTTATTGAAGCCTTCTTCGGCCCCTATTCCGGCCAGGTTACGCCCTTATTAAAGCCTTGTTAGGCCTTATGAAGCCCTTCCCAACTCTAAAGCCTAAACCCCAAAGCAACAATCCTGGAGGACCTCATTATGGATCTGGCTCGCGCCAAAGCCCGCATCACAGACACGCCCTCTGAGGCAAGCATGGGGTTTGTAGGTTTCGGCTTTATAGGGGTTTCCGGTTTCGGGGTTTTGAGTTTAAGGTTTTAGGGGTTTAGGGAAAGTTTAGGGTTTAGGGCTTTATATCTCTTTATACAATCACCCTAAACCCTAAACCCTAAACCGTGACCAACTTAGTCCTCACTGCGGTATACGCCGAAGCTCTAACTGCTAAGGCCCCGATTTCACTGGAGGCAGATCCGGAGCTTGAGCGGTTTAGGGTTTAGGGTTGAAGTCCAGTTTGTTCAGGCCTTCTTTGAGAACATAGTGAGCCTGAGAAAGTTTCAAACCCCTAAACCCTAAACCCCTAAACCCCTAACCCGTAGCTTCACCGAATGAACGTGCAAGCACAGTAAACAGAGAGACTTCCAAAGCCACAGTAACTCCAGGTCCATCGCTTCCAGCCCCAAACGAAGTCACTGTATTGAGGGCTTAGGGCTAGGGGTTTAGGGTTTAGGATTTTGAGGGTTTAGGGTTTAGGATTATGAGGGTTTAGGGTTCTTGATCTTGAGGGCTTCGGGTTTAGGGCTTAGAACACGCACAACAAGTTGTTCAAGCAGTTCGTTGCGAAATCGAGAAATGCACCTGTCCAAAAAAACGCGCACAAAGCTGCGCTGGCAGCGTTGTCAAATGGGTAGCCTTCTAAACTAGGGGCCCTTTGCAAGTCCCCAATATAATACGACTTCTGAAAAGGACCCTTTAAAAAGGGCGCCTAGTTTAGAGAACTACCCAAATTCCTTTGAAAGCAATCCAGCGGCTCCCCAACACCCTGAGTCACCCACCGAACAGAAAGTCAAACAAAAGCAAGCGGAGCCTGATTTGAAGAAATAGGCATAGAGCCCCAAGACTCTTTGACTCTATTTCGTGTCTACACCCTAAACCCTAAACCCTAAACCCTAAACCCTAAACCCTAAACCCTAAACCTACCCCCTGAACCCTAAAACAGAGCCGTCAGGCCGAAACCACGAACACCTAAACCTCAAACTTTAAACTTTAGGCCCAAACCTCTAAACCCTGAACCTTAAGCTGTAGCCCAAGCCACTAGTGAAAGCCTCAGCCCTAAAAGCCCTATACACAAAGTCCTGAAATCCCACGAAATTCAGTCTGGCGGCTCCTTGATCCTCGATGCCTTGTCCCTGAACAGCCGCTTGGATTGGCCAAGACTTCTAGCACGTGAGAGCGCCGCGGAGCTAAACTGAGTTCTTGTTACGGGGTACTATAATAGCGAAACCATATTAGTTACTATAGATCCCTACTATGGTAACTTATGTTAAATCCCTTAGCAAGAACCCAGTAAACTTGCTAGACTGCTCAACCCTGAAGCCGAAGAGACCCTGAACCGCTCACGAAAACAAACGAGAAGACACGCCGAGTATGTTATCTGAAAACTAGGTTCCCGAGTAGTGCCCTTTTGCTCCCTTATTAAAACCATACAATTAGGGGGGAGAGGGTATCCTTATTTTTTTTGGGGAGCTACGGGGGGTAGAAAAGGCACCTTCGAGCTGCTACCCCTGCAGTCACGAACAACGCTGCCGCTGCACATTGCTGCTTAAGGATTGCATGTCGTTTGAACCTGACAACCAGATAGCACAGCCTGTCCACCTTACCCAGAGGCTCCAAATATATTACGATTTGAAACCAGGTCCCTAAACCCTAAACCCAAAACCCCTAAACCCCTAAACCCTAAACCCTAAGGGATGGTCTTTGGTAGTGTAGATGGATCCTCTGGGTTATGTGCGCTGCCCAGGTAATCTGACCCAGGTGCTCACCACGCTCCTGAGTTGCAAAAGCGAAGGGTGTAGTCAGTTTAGTGCAGGTGCTTTAGGGTTTTAAAGTTTCAGGGTTTTAGATCTTGT